ACAAAGAGCGTCCAGACACATTGAGTTCTGTCGACGAAGCAAGTTGCTTTGTCGACAGAACTCCGTAGTCTGGACGCAACGTTACAGGCAATAACACCTTCTGTCGACAGAGTTCTGTCGACAGAAGGTGTTATGCCTCGTAAAATGAGGTATACCAGCGTCGACAAAACTGCTGAGTTCTGTCAACGTTATGTCGACAGAACTCAGCGGTAGTGTAGACGCTGGTATAGTTTTGTCGACAAAAGTCCACTTTTGTCGACAAAACTAGGTAGTCTAGACACACCCTAAGAGACGAACCAAAATATCTAGAATCATGAGCTTTTGTGGGTAACGCTCACTTCCTCAGATGAATTGGGGTGGAAATCACAGAAACCAAGAGATATATAACAGCAGAAGACGCACCTCTCCGTTGTAGGACCTGTGTTAATGAGGCTATTGACAGGTACTTCTGTTGTTATATGTATTTCTTGGTTTCTGTTATTTCCACTCCAATTCATCTGAGGAAGTGCGCATTGCCCATGAGAACACATGATTCTAGATATTTTGGTTAGTCTCTAAAAACAATGAGTAGTCCTGTGGTACCTTAAAGACTAACACAGCTATTCTTCTGAGATTCCTTAGGACCATTGTTAGGGCGTGTGCTGAAGACCTTCGGTTGGCTCTTGGTGGACAGACATGGCGCTTCTCTTCTATGCATACACAGATTGTTTTATTGTCCCTTCCACCCTTCACTAAAGATCTCCAGGACACCTGCATCCATGGAGCAGGACAGACAATCCCATCAACTCCCAAGATTTAGACATTTCAGAAGTTTGCAAACCTGGGCACAGTTCTGCCCTTGGTTACTTGGGTAGAAATACACTGAAAAAGCAGACCAGCGAACTTACATTGCACTTGTGGAGAACAATACTAAAGACCTGCAGTGAAATCCTGACCCCACTGAAATCAAGGGGCATTTGCCATTGACTTCACTGCGGGGTACGTCTACACAGCAGCATTATTTCAGAATAACAAACATTATTCGATACAGTTCCAGAATCAGAACCAAGGTTTTCCTTGTTTCAAACGCATCCAGCAGGCGGGTGATTCTGTCGTGGGAAAGCGTGGCGAGGATGTCCCTCTCCTGGTAGGACTGGGCTCTCGTTTTGCTTCGCAGAGGTATGAACTTAGCAGCACACGAGACTCTGTTCCCTTTGTGCACAACCCGTTTTACAAAGCTGAAAGAGCCCCTGTAAATAACCAAAAAAAAAAAAAAAAATCACCTTGAGGTTTTGCCGTGTGTCCTTCGGAATGTCAGATTCAAGATGCTTGCATTCTTCTCCCCCTCATGCAGTCTTTTCTCTCAAATCCTTCCTTCCACATTCACCTTACATGCAGCCTAATGTAACAATCTGCCTCGATAGTGTATGAGATTATGTCACCTTCTGCTGACTGGCCCCCCAAAGCTGAACTGGTTATGGACCAAGAGTTGCCAGTTACACCCTTAGCACCAGAAGTCCTGTAGCACGTTAGGGTACATCTAGACTACGTGCCTCTGCCGACAGAGGCATGTAAAATAGGCTACCCGACATAGTCAATGAAGCCGGGATTTAAATATCCC